TAATGCTGATATTAGACAAGAAGAAAGGTTGAAATCGAATGACTCAATGTACCATTTTAAGAAGCCAGAAACTGGGGGGGTGGGGGGGGACCTGGTGACTCAGTCAGTTCACGGACTCTTGATTTTGGCTCAGGTCATGATGTCATGGTCGTGAGATTGAGCCCTAGCTCGGCCTCTGTACTGGGTGTGGAGCCTGCTTGGGATTCTCTCTGTCCTTCTTCAGTCCTTCCCTCTCATTCCCAATCTCTCTTTAAAAAAAAAAAAAGCAGCAGCAAGAAACAGCGGAGCAGAGCAGAAAACATATTCATTGTCTATTGTTGTGTTTCTATTACAACAAATAAAGCAGCTTAAACCAACAAACATATATTTCTTGCAGTCTGAGTGGGTGAGGGGCCTGGAACTTCCGCTGGGTATTTCACTCAAGGGATCAAAAGTCTGAAATCCAGTGTCAGTTGACTGCATCCTCATAAGGAGGCCTAACAAGAGCAAGATCCCCTCTTGAGTTCCCTTCATTTCCTTTCTGCTGTGTGGGTGAGGTCCTCTTGTTCTTGCTCCAATGGCCTGGGGACCAGCCTCAGCTCCTGCACATGGTCCCTTTCTTCATGCACCCTTTCCAGCATGTGGCTTGCTTCTTTGAGGCCTGTAGGAGAATCTCTCTGATGCTTTATTTCTTTTTCAAGACATACCTGATTAGATAGCTTGGGAAAATCTCCCTTTTGATTAACCAAAGATCAATGATTAGAAGCCTATATATTGAGTGATAGCTCATCATATTGACAAGTCTTGATCACATTCAAAAGAGAATAGAAGACAAGGATGAGGGTCTTTGGGGGGCAGGAATCTTAGGATCCATCTAAGAGTTCTGACTACTACATACAAAGTAAGTCAGAGGAATAAAACCATAAAGATAACAGAAGAAATCAACATACTGAAAAACAAAAAACCAGAACCAATTAACAAAGACCAAAGTCAATTCTTTGATAAACTGAGAAACTTAGCTAAATGGATCAAAAAGTAAAGGAGGAAAACCATCATCAATACTAGGAATGAAAGAAAGTCAGCACTAAATTAGAAATTATTATGTAAAATTTTATGTTAATAAAATTGACAACTAAATGAAATGAGCAAATTTCTTGGAAAATACAACTTGCCAAAATTGACACAAAAAGAAAAAAAAAAGTGAATAGTCCTCCATCAATTAAGAGCTTAAGTTCTTTATCGAAAAACTTTCCCATGAAGAGAAATCCAGGTCCAAACAGCCTTGCTGGTGTATTCTATCAAATATCCAAGGAGGAAACATTTCAATTCTATACCAACTCTTTCAGAAAATTGAGGAGTATTACCAAGGCGTACTAGTAATAATTTTAAAAAGAAATGAAAACTCCACTTGCATTGGCAAACAGTATAAAACAATTAGGAATACATTTAATTAAAAATGTGCAAAATAGAACTACAAAAATGGAAAGCTGTATGAAGTTCATGGATAGGAAGACAGTTATTAAGATGGTGGCTCTCCTCAAATTCAGCTATAGATTCAATGCAATCCTAATTGAAATTCTAAGAGACTTCCTTGAATACACTGAAAAATCCATGTAAAAGTTCATACGGAAAGGCAAAAAGCCTGGGTTAGTTAAAACAATTTACGAAGAAAACAACAACATAGTTAGGAGCTTATACCAACTGATCTCAAGACTTAAAGCAACAGAAATCAGGAAAGTGTGGTTTTGGGCATAAGGACAGATGTGTAAGATCATCTACTGGTAACCCAGAGGTAGGCTAACATTGATATGGCCCATTGATTGCTGACAAGGTTATAAAGTAATTCTATGGGAAAGAGGTAGGCTTTTTATTTTTGTTTTGTTTCTTAAGGAAATGGTGGCAAAACACCTGGATTTCTGTATGGGGAAAAATCAACATCAATTCTTACCTCATGCTTTATACAAAAATTAACTTGCTATGTACCACATATCTAAATATAAGATAAGTTAAAAACTGTTACATTTCTAGAGGAAAATGTGAAAAAGATATTTATAATATTCAGTTAGGCAAATAGTTTTGAAACAGGCTATACAAAACGTGAACTATGAGAAAAAAATGGTAAATAATTTCTATTAAATTAAAAGTCTTTTCTGTTTGAAAGACACAGTTAAAAGAATATAAACACAGGTCACAAATCAGGTGGAAATATTTGCCAAACATGTATCTGACACAGGGATATATATCCCAAATACATAAATAACTCCAATAATTGGATAAGAGATGAACAACTCCAATTAAAAAGAAGCAAAAGAATGCTTATTCAGCAAATGGTGCTGGAACAAGTGGATATTCACAGGAAAAAAAAATAGTATTTTCCCTATACTATACATATATAAAAAAAAGTCACTTTGAATGGTGCATAGACCTGAATGTACATGTGAAAACTATAAAAATTCTAGCAAAAAGTAGAAGAGAATATTTTTGACCTCACAGTATACTTTCTTAGATAGGAAACACAAGTAGGTTCATAAAATTAAAAAGTTGATAAATTGCACCTTTTCAAAACTAAAAACTTGTGCTCTTCAAAAAATATCATTAAGAAAATGAACAGCAAGCTACAGACATAGAGAAGATATTTACAACTTGTAAATCAGACCTGAATAAAAAACTACAGACGCCAAACTCTCGCAGAAGTGGAAGGTGTGAGCAGACCCTTCACAGAAGATCTGCAGAGAGCCAATAAGGACTTGAGAAGAGAATCAGCATCACGGATCAACAGAGAAATTAAAACCACAGTGAGATCACACTACACTACAATACACACTCTTTGCAGTGGCTAAAGTTCAAGACTGCCAATGCTAAGTGTTGACAAGGGTATGGAACTACTGTAGCTATCAGTCAGTGCTCGTGGGCATGTGACATGACACAGGTGTTTTGGAAAAGAGTATCAAGCCTCTTCAAACATTAAACATAAATCTACCATGTGAGTCAGCAATTCTACTCCCAGCTATTTACAAAGGAGCCATGGAAACATGTCCACACAAACACTTGTATGTAAATTTTCATAGTAGCTTTATTTCAAATAATGATAAATGAAACAATATAAATATCCATTTATAGATAGATGGATAATAAAAATGTATCACATCCTATGGAATATTATTTAGCAATAGAAAGGACTATGTTGTTGCTATTTGAAACAATGTGAATGAGTCTCAAATTCTTCTGCTTAGTGAGTGACGCCAGGCACAAAAGAGTACACGGTGTATGGTACTATTTACATAAAACTTTAGAAAATACACCCTAATCTATAGTGACAGAAAGCATCTGGTGATGTCAGGAGATAGTGTGGAGGGAAAAATGTGTTCCTCAGGGCAGGAGAACACTGGGGAGTGATGGAGATGTTTGGGATCTTGATTGTGGTGGTTTCTTATTTTCTTGGTTTCTTATCTGCCAAAACACGAAATGGTATACTTCAGATATATGTGATTTATTGTGTTTAAATTGTTCTTCCAGACATTTGTAAATAAATAAATAAATATAATGTAAAGATAGAAATTATAATCATGTCTTAAATCTTGAGGTCTTAAATGTTACCTTCCTGACTAGCTGGAAACATGACATCCTCTTGGATATTTTCCCAATTCTTCCTTAGCCTCTCCCTTGCTGCTGACGGCTGCTGTTTGCCCTCAGTTTGAGGACCTGGATACGGAGTTCTGGGAAGAGGGTCTGCACCCCATCAGAACTGTTCTGAGCACCAGAGAGCCCCTTGCTGTCCCCATCTTTCGCTGGCATCATGGATCTTGCCCACGTGAGAGGCTGTCATCCTGGTGTCTGACATGCCCCCCGGCAGAATGACTCTTACTGGCCCTGGGATGCTGTCTTGATGCTGCCTCTCTCCCTTGGGGACTTTGCCTTTTGTCACCACTCTTTCAGATGGGTTTCCCACAGCTGGGACCTTGTGGCATGTCCCTCTCCCCCCTATTTGGCTCTATTCTTCCTGGAACTCAAAGTTGGGAGGCATTTGGGGTCAAATTTAAGCATAGACACAGATTACACCTGGATTTTTTGCTGTCTCTAAAGGCCAGGCGTACATTCTGGAGAGCATTTTGTACCTGTTAATATGGAAACAAGACATAGAAGTCACTCTTTCATAACAAAAATATATATTCCCTCTTTAGGAAGGACAACACTCCCCCACCCCCCTCAGCCAATTAGTTTGCCAGCCAAATTCACGAGGCTAAGATTAAAACCTCAGATTGGATTAAGCTTTGCTGTATGTTACACTTCCCCTTACCCAGGATTCTGACACCCACGGGGAAAGGAATAATCTTTGAAACACACTTTGTTCTTTTTATCTTGCTATTCCAAAGGTTTGCAAAGCCTTGCCGTGCTATTTACTTGAAGTCCTAAACAGGGCAGGTGTAAAATCAACGTCGTCCATGGCGTGTATCAGCCGAAGCACACCGGTCCTCAGTGAACGCACCAGCTGGCGACGGCCTATCGTTTTTACAGCAATTGCAAGTTCAGTCTCACCCCAGGTGACAGATCCCTTATTCACGTGAATAAAAGCCACTCCAAGCAACTCTGCCGCTTTTCTGGAGGCCTAGGAACAGATGGCATGCTTTTTAAATGCTTTCTCCCGTGGTGGACACTCAGCTCTTGAATTATTTGGGAGTCGGTGGGCCAAGGGAGGGGTCTGTCCCGTGGGTCCACTGACTGCCTGCGTTGCTCCCTCCTCCGCTGGCTCGGGCCACGTGGGCTCCCGGAGACACGAAGCTTTGCCGTCTGAGTCATGAGAGTCACTGGCTCTCCTGGGCCTCCAGGGTTGGTGCTGATCCTGGGGGAGAGGAAGACTCGTGAAGGCCCCCAATTCTGAGCGGATTGGTGTGTGTCCTGTATCCGTACTCATCCTCTTCATTAGTGTCATCATCACCAGTCACTTACCACCTGTCCATCTAAAAGAGGAAACACAGTGCTTCAATTGTTCATGCAGAAATGGCGCGGTCAAAGCTTTTGGCACTCGGAGCACGTGGTCATGACAGCACTCTTGTGATCCTGGCTAGACCACTCGCCCTTCCTCCTCATTCCACAAGTGTGGGAGGGGAAGGCCCACCTGCCCTGCTTTCATGTGTCTCTACTGTGTAGAAATGCGGTGTTTACTGAAATGCTGCCCATTCTGTTCCCAGAGAACATGCCGACTCAGGCGCGGGGTGGGGTGAGGGCAGACCTTCACCCAGCCTGCTGGATGGAAGGAGAAGCATGCTTGTGGAGAATGGGGGAAGGCATTAGGTGCTCCCAGGGTCTTCGAGGGCCCCTCTGGGTAGGGGGCTAGCAGTCCAGAGCTGATGGTGCACATGGGAGATTCTCATAGTTTTCTGCAGGATCTTCATGGGCCTGCCCTGCAGTGTCTTCTGGTTGTGCCTTCTTCAGCTCCGAATAGATGACTGCAGGTTCCTGGTGGAAATCCCACAAACAGTGAGCACCTACGCACAGGTGAGGGGAGGAGAGCTCTGCGAGAGGGAGGCAGAAAGCATGACCCACCTCATCCTTCAGATGTGTCCTTGGTGAATGTGCTGTTGGATGGGAGGAGGGAAGACAGCATTAGTCTGTGGGTGACATATTCCAACTTACAACCCACTCACAATGCCTTTCAAAATCTCCCTTCTGCAAATGGGCTCTTAATGGTTAGCTTTGTGGGGTTCTTCCACCCCCACACACTGATAAAGCCTTTCCCCTGCCCACCAAATGCCCAGAGTGACTCTCCTGATGATTTCCTTCTCTCCCACTGCTCATCGTCCCAGCCACGTGGTCCCCCTGCTCCCATCCCACCCCCATTCAGGGCCTCTGTGGGTGCACTGATTGGGAGAAAGTGGAATACAGGCTTTGCTTCATGCGGGGAAAGTGGAGGAGGCTGGAGAGGGGGTTGGCATTCTAAGGCCATACAGCAAATTCCCAGCGAAGATCTGCAGTGAAGCAGTAAGAAAATTCAGCGTGTGTGTTTCTTCTCTTCCCAAGGGTCCTCTGGATCTCTTTCATTCATTTATTAGTAAGTACTCAGTAAACAATGACCTTCTATTAAGCTACAAGGACAGAGAAACAACAAACAAACTCAGTCCGTGTATCCAAGGAGCCTATAATTTTTAAGAGGAACAATGGACGTGTAGATGTATGCAACAAGTAGGATGGGCACCAGATGGAAATACATAATGAACTGTTGTTGCCCAAAGGCTAACCCATCCTCCCAGGCTTGGACACAGGGAGGGCTGGGGGCAAGTTTCATGGAGGCACCTGAACTATGTCTTGACATGTGAGCAGGGGTCACTGGATAAACTAGGTGGGGGAAGGGCATTTCAGGCAGATGAGACACATGATCACAAGAGCATGCAACAGCCCAGTGTGAGCAGGAAAATGGGGAGGGTCATCTTGGCTGGAGAAAGGCCAGAGCTCTGGGAGGGGCTGAAGAGCAGGAGGAAGCGGGGGTCCAGCTTTGGAAGGAAGGGTCACCGAGGCCGTGAATCCAGGCCAGGGTGGATAGGCAGGGCCTCTCAGAGGGATCGTGCTGGAAACCATGTCTGGGGGCCAGAGGAGGATGACATTAGAAATCAGGCCATTTGGGAGAATTATGATTGTCTACACATTAGGTTATGCGAGGCTGACACTAGCAATGAGCAGTCATGCCTTCTTTTAAAACGATATTTGAAGAGGGGCGCCTGGGTGGCTCAGTGGGTTAAAGCCTCTGCCTTTGGCTCAGGTCATGATCTCAGGGTCCTGGGATCGAGCCCCACATCGGGCTCTCTGCTCAGCGGGGAGCCTGCTTCCTCCTCTCTCTCTGCCTGCTTCTCTGCCTGCCTCTCTGCCTACTTGTGATCTCTGTCTGTCAAATAAATAAATAAAATCTTAAAAAAAAAAAAACGATATTTGAAGAGATCCATAGTTTCCTAAGCACCGCACTGGGTGCTACTGGTAAGTTCGTGGAAACACTAGTGTCTGTCCTCAGAGAGTTTGTGGGATCCGGTGGCAGTGCACAAGGGTCCAAGGGAAGGGACACAGCCATATGGTGGCAACGTGGGAGCAGATGATGCCTTCCTTCCGCGGCCCACTCATACTTGAGAGGCCTGATCCGAGGCCCCTCGTGGATCCTCTCACGCACGGCTGCCTCACCTGCCCTGGTCAGGAAGGACTCTCACCTGGATTTCCGCTTATTTGCTGGCTGCTCCAGATCTGGGAATACACCAGGTTGTCATCTCCAGGATTCACTGCGAGAGAGGTGATAGCTCGCTCCAGCCAAGAGCCCACGTTCTAGACTCTTCTCAGCTACTAAATTCATCTTCTGTCTCAGACACGGTGCCAGGAGTGTCATTTTCAAGTTGAAAGTGACTCAGTGTTGGGCAGTTGCTCAATCTCCCCTCCCACCTTGGTTCATCCCTGGGGCCCTGGGCAACTTAGGAAGTCTCACCATTGCTGTATACTGGCTGCAGCTCCATCCTGGCTGGTGGCTCAGAGTGGGGGGGCTTGTGGGGGTCTGTGCAGCAGGGTCCAGACCAGGAAGGCTCCTGATGCTCCTTGGGACTGTAACTGGGACAGACAGGGAGAGACACAGGGCGAGAAGGATTTGTGGATCACACTGAGTCTCAGGAAGACCAGCGTCCAGGAGGAGCCCAGTGTGGTCCCTGTAAACGTATCACGGCTGTGGGGACGCCTGGCTGGTTCAGTTGGTTAAGAGTCAGACTCTTGAGTTTGGTGTAAGTCATAATCTTAGGGTCGTGAAATCAAGCCCCGTGTTGGGCTCCACGCTCAGTGTGGAACCTGCGTGGGATTCTCTCTCTGATCATTCCCTCCTTCTCCCTCTGCCCTCTCCCCGCTCGTGCTCACTCACACTCTCTCTCTCTCTCTCAAATAATAAATAAATAAAACATTCTCTAAAATATCGTGGTTGCCTACCCTGAGTCTGTATGACTCTCTCAAGAGAACTCAGAAGGTGTGTGTGACGTTACGTGCAGCCCAAGACAGTGTGACAGCGAGGGACGACTGATGCAAAGTCAGCGGGCCAAAGTGCGGAGTCTCAAGGTCTTTTCAGTGAACAGTTAGATCTGCCCAACTTCTTATTGTTCTCAAACACTTAAATGTTTAAACACGGATACACAAAGACTTTCGCACCCCCACGGAATGTCACCTTCATCTTTTTTAAAAGGTCACTTTCAATATTCCAGCTCATATCACAATCATCTACCTTTCGTAAGATACCTTGGCAGATCCCTGGGAAAAGGGTGGTTTTTTTTTTCCCCACTTCTGTTTCCTTCTGCAATCAATATTGTGAATTGAACATTGCCAGAATTTAATAATTATGTCCCGAATGAGTGTGTGGTGGAGGAATGAGGGGGAAGTCTGAGGTGGAGCCCGGTGACAGAGGACGCCACTAGGGTGGGCGTGGCCAGCTCTCCACCAGGGCACATCTGGAGAGGTAGACTGACATGGAGAGCAAGTGACATGAGTCCTGGGTATGCAGAGGTCTGAGTGAGTATTGTTCATAGATATGGCTGGAAGTTGTTTTCTGAATCACATTTTTGGATTTTGTAAGAATTTGAAAATGTTAATAGGAAATCCAGTCAAATATTTTTTAATGTACATAGAACCCTGTGGCCCTGTCTTGTGGGTATGAATAGATCATGAGAGTGTTGTCAGCATATGAAACGAGACCTCACCTGGGTGTTCCAGTGGCAGGAGGTCCTCCTGAAAAACAGAAGGTCAGTGATCGTGAGTGAGCTGTGTAGGCAGTGGGCTCCCCATCAGAATGCCCTTTCCGGGAAATCAGATTCATTTTGGGCCTCAGCCATGGCAGGTCTTAGAGAACATCAGGCTCTACCCCTCCAGTGGCATATTACTGATGAAGAAGGTGGGGTCTGGAAAGATGGTTGCCCAGAATCATACTTATTCAGTCAGTAAAAGCAGCATGCACTCTAAGGAGGTGTGGCCGAGTAGCACTAGAGAGACAAATTAGTACTTCACGCTGGGCCCAGTGCTTCCCCTCTTCCTCTTCTCTGCCCTGGCCGCAGCCCCAGGAGATGGAGACCAGAGACAGAGTTCCTACACTGTGTGAATAAATAGGGCTCCCATAACCACTCGGACATATCTGTACCTGTGGTCCTTGCAAACCCAATCAGCTGGGTACATACTGTTTTCTCCACACCCCTTCTCCCCTTCTCTTTCACCTGTCTGATTCCAGCTGATCTTTCCTCCTCCAGGGCTTTCCCTGAGGCCAGCAAGCTCTGAAGCGACCTATCCACACTCACATGGAAACCTGCAGTATTAAAATCACCATACTGGATGGCAATTACCTGTTTGTAGGTTTCCCTCCAACTCTCTCCATCATGAAAGAGGGTGTTACTTGAGGCTGCAACCTCATCTCAATTATTTTTATTTTCCCAGTGGCTAGAATGTTGACAATATTCAGTAAAGTTTGGTTCAGCAACTGAACGAATTTAAGTATATACTTTGAGGACTAAAAAAAGGGGGGGCACATTGACAATTGTATAATAGGTGATTACAGGTAAACCTAATCTGGAAGACTACTTCATCAGCCTTGAAAATATGGCAGTTTTCCATCATCAGTGAGACACTGAAATCCTTTTGGCCTGCCCCAATGCAGGACTCCTCCTAGAGCCCATTCCTGACCACTGCCTATTTATCTGTGGCTCTGCATCTGTCTCACTGGGCTTAGACACCGTGAATTATTACCCCAAGTAAACATTTGCATCAAAAATGATTGATGTCTGCAAACCATGAATTAAACTAGAGGTGCGTTGACAGCTCCTTAGAGAAATTGCGATTAGTATCAGTCAACAGCCACTGTCCTCCCTTGTGGGTGGGTGAGCTCAGTCCCAGGACGTGTCTGCAAGTCCGTTTATCTCTTCATTTGCAAAAGACAGAACAGACCCAGAAGGTGGCTATTTACATGCCACAGGCCACAGGTTAATATCACTGAAGAGATATGGGCTGGTCTGGGACTAAGCAGTTTACATGGATACCACCAAAATGGTAAATAGTATTGTTATGACCATAAAGAAACTGGGGCTTGGAGAGTTTAATTTACCTGCCAGATATCAAGTATCTGGCAAATTACATTACTGGAATTTTCATCCCGGCAGTTCAGTCACAGAGTTAATACAGTTACCACTCTCTTTGGTAATGGGTTGGATACACTCAGCCTTAAGGAGAAGAATTCTCTTTTTTCAAAAAAATGGAGTAAATACCCAGAAGTACAATTTCTGGGTGACAGGGTAGCAACAAAACTGAGGGTTTTAGAGGGGAAGGTGGTGGGGGTGTTAGTCCCGTGATGGGTATAAAGGAGGGCATGTGTTGCTTGCAGTACTGGGTGTTCTACACAAACAGTGAATCGTGGAACACTACATCAAAAACTAATTATGTACTGTATGGTCACTAACATAACATAATTAAAAAAAAAAAAGAAAGAAAAAGTGGAAAGGGCTGAGCTTCTCCCTGAGCAGGCTGATGGATAATGAGAAGGAGGTTGGCAAGATTGTGAGATGAGGAAGTCAGATACCCTCTGACTGGTAGACTGTCAGAATTTCTTACTGAGTTTGCTGTTTAAAACAAGACTTCCTCTATATCGAGAGGTCAGAACTTCCTGGGTTTCTGTTCTCATGGATCACATAAAATGATCATTGCTAATCTTGACTTCCCTGTGCCGGTTGCTGTACGGCTGAGCAATCTAGTTTTTGACCATTATTAACTTCAACGGCAAGGTCTTAATGTCTGCACTTCTGGTATGTTTTTAATTAGTAAGTGACACAAATACAGGTGATGAAACAGAAAAGTAGTTTTGAAAGTAGGGGATGTGACCAGCCTTCCGTAAGTCACAAAGGTACAGTGGAGAGAATGTGGAGTCAAAGGCTAAGAAGAACCCCAAGTAAGCCCCAACTCTGACTCTTAATAGATACACAAGTTCGGAAAGATAACTTACGAAATATCTCCATTTTTTCGTCTCTAATATGGCGATACTAATACTGACTGAATTGAACTGAGATGTAGTTATTGAATAACTGGGAGTAGACAAACTACAAAATCGCATATAATAGGCTTTAAATGAGTGATACACTTTATGATGAGTACCATAAAGCTTAGTGCTCTTATTCCTTTCATATATATTTTAAAAAATGATATGTAGACTTAATTTACATGTAATGTTATTTAAGAAAATACTAAATAGCTTTAAAATATCAGTCATAAAATGTTGGTGCCATTTTTCATGCAAAGAAACAGGACAGAGGCTCATTGATTGACCTGAAAACAAAAGAGTAAGGAGACAATGCTTGATCAGCATCATTAAGAAAAAAATATGTAAGTTTTTTCATTAAATAGAGATCCACATATTCTTTTTATTTCTTTGTTTGCTTACTTGATTTTCAGTATAAGCCCTAAGAAAGGAAGAACAAAAGCATTTGGCCTGACAGAAAAGGAAGTGTCATGTTATGTTAAGCGAGAGACAGACAGAAAGAAAAGTTTTAGTAATTCCAAAATATAAAGTAGTGAAACCTTACAGGCACCCAAGACACTGAATTAAAAAGTCCATTAGTTCAAGAATCCCTGATCCATGAAAAACATTTAGTGAGGAAAAAAACACAGTCACAGAAGAACAAAGGATGATAGTGTATTTCTTGTCAGAAGGAATGCACACAAGAAGATAGTAAAGCAGTATCTTTAAAATACGTAAAGAAGAAAAAATTTCTACCTATAATCCTATAACAACAAAGGCATCTTTCACAATGAATGCAAAACAGAGACTTTTACAGACTATATAAAACCTGAAATAATTCATCATCAGCAGACCCATCTATTAGAAATGTTAAGAGAAATCTTTGGGGCAGGAAGAAAGTAATACCAGATGGAATTTGAAGATACAAAAAGAAATAAAGGAAATCAGAAGCAGTAACTACTTAAGTAAGTATGTAAAATTCTTAAATTATACTTAAGTCTCTTAAATTATACTTAACAACTAACAGTTGTGACTGTATACAACAGTAATAGCACTGTAGCTAGGAGGGAAGAAATGGAGTGCAGAGTGGAATATCCCTTTTTAAAATATTTCACTTATTTCTTTATTTATTTACTCATTTAGAGAGAAAGCGAGTGGGAGGAGAGTCAGAGAGAGAGAGGGAGAAAGAATCTCATGCAGACTCTGCAGCTCAGTGTGGAGCCCAGTGGGAGGCTTGATCCCATGACCCTGAGATCGTGGCTTGAGCCAAAATCAAGAGCTGGATGCTTAACTGACCGAGCCACCCAGATGCCCTATAAAAGTAATATTCTTTTTTTAAAAAGATTTTGTTTATTTATTTGACACACACAGAGAGAGAGATCACAAGTAGGCAGAGAGGCAGGCAGAGAGAGAGGGGAAGCAGGATCCCTGCTGAGCAGAGAGCCCGATGCGGGGCTCGATCCCAGGACCCTGAGACCATGACCTGAGCCGAAGGCAGAGGCTTAACCCACTGAGCCCCCCGGGTGCCCCACTGTAATATTCTTACACTATATGTGAAGTGACTGAATGCACCTGAAGATAGACTGTGGTAATTTAGCTATCCATACTAGAAATGCTAAAACAACCAGTGAAGTGAACAAAACAAAGAATTATATACCTAGTATGCCAACAGAGGGAAAAATGGAATCATAAAAAATACTCAGTTGGTATAAGAACAGATGGAACAAATAGAAGATAAATAGCAAAATAATAGACTTTAAATCTAATCTTATCATCACATTAATATAAATGATCTAAATTCCTTAGTTAAAAGATAGAGACTGTCATATTGGATAAAAAGCAACAATTAATTATATGCTATGCATTTATAAAAAATGCCTTAAATATAAGGGCCTATATAGGTTACAAGTGAAAAGATGGATAAAGAAATACCATGTTAGGGGCACCTGGGTTGCTCCATCAGTTAAGCATCTGCCTTCAGCTCAGATCACAATCCTGGAGTCCCAGAATCGAGTCCTCATCAGTCTCCTCACTCAGTGGAGAGTCTGCTTCTCCCTCTGACCCTCCCGCCTCTCATGCTATCTCTCTCACCCTCTTTCTCAAATAAATAAATAAAATATTTTTTAAAAAGAATACCCTGTTAACAGTACTTTATTAATACATTAATGTCAAAGACTACTTCAGAGTAAATGACACTAACAGGGATAAAAATATCATTTCACAAGGATAGGCTGATCATTTTACCAAAAACACAAACAATTACAAACATTTATGCATCTAATAAAAGAGCTTCAAAATACCCAAGGGAAAACTTGATAGAATTGTAAGAAGAGATGGATAAATCCATAGTTAGCGTTGGCGATTTCAATACCCCTCTTTCAATAGTTGATAGACCAAGTAGAAAATCATTACAGATATAATAGACTTTAGCAACACGACCAGTCAAGCTCACCAGCAGACCCATACTCTGAGAAATGTGAAACGTACTTCACGCAGAAAGAAAATGATACCATTTGGAAATATGAAGACACAAAAAGGAATGACAAATACTAGAAGTGGTAACTAAATGGGTGCTACCTTGACATCAAGTCTGATAAAGATATGATAAGAAAATAAAGCTACCAAGCAGTATCCCTCATGAATGTAGCTGTAAACATTCTTAACAAAATTTTACCACATCAAATTCAACAGTCATGACCAAGTGAAGTTGACCTCAAAAATGCACGGTTGTTTTGACATTCAATATTCAAAATCCGTATCAATCGACTAGAAAAGAGAATCATATGATCATCTCAATCAATGTAGAAAAAGCATTTGATAAAGATTTTCCTTATAAAAATCCTCAGCAAATTACAAATAGTAGGGACTTCTTTGGCCTAATAGAGAGCATCTACCAAAAAATCCAAAGCTAACATTACCATATTAAATGATGAGAGACAAATATTTTCCCCTAATATCAGGAACAAGACCTGCTATGCTGATATGCTATATCTGCTCTCACCACTTCTATTCAGCATTGTACAGGAGGTTCTAGCCAGTGCATTAAGGCAAGAAAAAGAAATAAAAGTAACTTAGATGGGAAAGGAAGGAGCGGGACTATCTTTATTTGCAGATGACAGAATCACCTACGTAAAAAATCTGATGGAATCTATAAAAGAGAGACTGGAACTAATAAATATGTATATAGCAAGGTTGCAAGATATAAGAACAGCATAAAAAATAAATTATATTTCTATATACTTGCAATGATAAAAAACTGAAATTTTAATTTCTTTTTTTTTTAATTTCTTTTCAGCGTAACAGAATTGTTTATGTACCACACCCAGTGCTCCATGCAATACATGCCCTCCATAATGCCCACCACCTGGCTCCCCCAACCTCCCACTCCCCGCCCCTTCAAAACCCTCAGATTGTTTTTCAGAGTCCATTTCATTTCATTCTCAGCATCCATATTAATTTTCCAAATTTCACAATATTTGACTGGCATTCAAATATATTTCAGAATGTATGGTTTGCACCAGGGCTATTATCTATCTTTTGTTGTCGCAAATGAAAGACTTTTTAATATTATTCCTTTTGTTCTCAGTAAGCTTTGAACTGGGGTTGGAATGGCAAATAACCTTTCTAATTTTTAATTGGAAGCAAAACTCTGCTACCTAGTTTAAATCTCAAATTAAACACATGGAGTGAAAACTTCATTGAGAAATGTATTCTGCCTTTTTGTCACTGTTGCCTACAGAGTGCCAGTGAGTAGAACTGAGGCTTTACTATTTGGAAGAGAATAATCATCTTAAGAGAACACACTACACAAGTCCAAATTTTGATAGCAATGGCAAAAGTCACAACATCAGAGGGTAACACATAGACACCCACCTGATTTCCTTTGGGTCCTGAAGTAACTCACCAAATAAGCAGTAGCAGCAAGGCCAGGCACACTTAGCAGGCACCCAATGACGCCCACAGTGATATGGATTACTTTGCTTGTGGAAAGCCCTAAATGGGAAGACCTGTATTTGAGTTCTGGTGGCAAGTGTTTTTGACCTAGACAACATGTAGGTGGGGAGTAGAGATCTATCAGGACAGTTTTCTTCCAGGTTTTGATTCCTCCATTTGAATTATCTCCACTATAATTGGTAATTTTCAAAATAATGGCCCATGGTTGTCAGCATCTAAGATTGAAATCTATTCCCTTTCCGTCCCCCACGAAATCAACACAATCTCTGGAAGCCCCAAGCCTTTGTGTGCATGTTCAAAAACTCTTTGATGGTAGAATTTGTACAGTCTGTAGGAAAAATATTTTATTGACCTTAACTGTAATCTGAAACTCAGGTACCTCCAACACACCTGTGAAGTTGAGTGTCACCATGTAACTTCTCTGGACCCCCAGGCCATTGTCAGCCCCACAGGAGTAGTTTCCAGAATGTTCTGTGGTCAGAGAGAAGTTAAAAGATGCTCCTCCTCCAGAGGGGGCCGACGTGTTCCCCAGGACGATATCTTCATGATAAAACCAGTATAAGATTGGGGGAGAGCCTCTCTGAACCTCACAGTGAAGTTCTAATAAATCTCCCACCACAGCCTGGGGCCCGGCAGGGTTGAGGGTGAGGACAGGGCGAGACACTGGAACTGAAGGAGGAAACATAGTTCATTGGCAGTTTTAATTGAAAATGTATACCAGATACTAAAGGAAACATCCAGCATAATTTAGTAGTAGGAATATAGACTTGGGATCAAGACAAGCCCTACCTGTGACGCTGAGCATCACCGCCTTGCTGCGCTGGGCCCCCAGGTTGTTGTCAGCTTCACAGGCATAGTTTCCAGAACGTTCTGCTGTCAGACAGAGGCTGAAGGAGGCTCCTCCTCCAGAGGGGGCCAAGTTGGTCCCCAGGATGACATCCTCATGGTAATACCGGTACAGGATCGGGGGAGAGCCCCTCTGGGCCTCACAGCGAAGCTCCACCATGTCCCCCACCACGGCCAGGGCTCTGGGTGTCTTGACAGTGAGGATGGGGTGGGATGCTGGAACTGAGTGAGACAGGAGCTGTCAGACAGGGTCTCACCTTACTTTCCATCTTTGCCATTCCTTGGTTGGCATTTAAATTTTCACACCTCTTTTTCTTGCCTTCTTCAGAAGATCCTTCTGGCTGACAAAGAAACTAAACCCTGGCTTGGGAACAAGGTTGAGTGAAAAAGCGAGTAACTTACTTCTTGGTGTGACTCTGATCCGTTTACTGAGGATGGGGCCTTGGATATTGTCGGCTGAGCAGTAGTACCTCCCAGCGTCCTGCTCCCTCACTGCGACTATCCGCAACTCTGCTGACATGGCACGTATCATCTTCCTGCCCAAACTTCTCTCCGTGCCCTCCCGGTGCCAGGAAAATGCGATAGTCCCTGTACCCTTGGCTACTGAGCAGATAAGGACCATATCTCCTCCTTCAATCAGCTGGCCCTCAGGGGGCTGGATCTCTAGATTCACATCAGACACAGGGATCCCTAGGGGGACAGAAGAGAATTTGAGAGGGTCTCAAAGGCAGGTGCTACAGAGCCAAGGAGAAGGCTGGTGTTGCTACGAATAAGCCAATAGCAACAGGTTCAGTAGGCAGGGGTCCAAAGTGGGTAATAGGGAATTGTACATTATTATGAAGGGAACATTACCTGTCCCCACACACAACAGTTTTTGTCCTCGGGTAATGTGGGCACCAGGTCTATCTTCTTTTAAACCTAACGTTGACCATAGTCAAATTTTATGGACCTTTATCTCTAAGCCACCTCTGATGCATCAAAGGACCATAAAGAAAGAGAATAGGGAAGGTTCCTTGTATCCTGAAGTGACTTGATTCAGAACCCAAACCCCTCTCCATCCCACAAGCCTCCTCCAGTCTCAGCACCACCTCCCCACCTTCTTCTCTATTTCAGTTTGTGTTTATCTTCCTCTTTTCTGATTATTTGGGAACAACTTTTGATTGACACATGGACACCCTAAAGCGCCTCTACAGACTGACTGCATGTGGTCATTGGTGCTTCTTGTTAACTGTTGACCCACTATAGAATGTACCCTGTGTGTCTTTGTGGCCCTCACAGGTTAGACACCCAGCAAGTGATCAATAACAATTATTACCTAACTTAAATGGAAGAGAATGTTATAGGGAAGTTAGGCCAATGTTGAACCTAAGAGAAAGGGATAGTGGGATGGCTGGTAGCTCCTCTCTGCCATGTTCACTATCTCAGGCAGCAAGAGAGGTAATTCTCTGCTCTCCTCTCCCTTCCCTCTGCCCCACAGACACTCACTCTGTACATGTATCTGGGATCGCAGGCTTTCTTTAATGATATTGGGAGTCACTGTCTTTGCCTGGCACCAGTAGGACCCTAAGTCTTCACTCCACATGGTGGGGATCTGGAGCTCTGAGGAGCTGCTCCAACCAGGTTCCAGGGCCTTATCTTCTCTGAAGAAACAGAACTGAAGCCAAATGTATGACCTTGGTGGAGGGAGCCAGGTATCACACTTCAGGTTCACTGGGTTCCCCTCGATGGGCTGGGAAGGTCTGACTCTCAGCACAGGTTGTGGAAACAGCTCTAGAGAGAAGCACAAAAACAGTTCCCAGGGCAGTGAGACTCCGAGCTCCTGGAGAGGGACACCTGTGTTCTCAGCACAATGTCAGAAGGTGGGGACCCATGGAGATGGAACCACCTCTCACCTCCTTCCCATGGCTGCTCAGAAGAGGCCTCTTATGAAGGCCCCTCTTTGATCCCCACACAGTTTCTCTGTCAAGACCTATTACCCACAGGAGTATAGCCATTACCTTGAACTTGGATCTTTAAAGGTTTTGAAGTTTCTATCCATGGGCTCCATAAAGTTTCCCCGGAAGCAGTACAATAATATTCACTATTGTCCCTGGAGACTGAATGTATTCTGACCTCTGAATGATATTGTGACCACTGTCTCATTTCTTCTTTATTTTTGTAGTAAGTCTTTTCATAAATATCTTCTTCTTTCTTCCCCAGGCATCTCAGAGTCACATCATCTCCTTCAAAGACAGGGTGTGAAGCCTGGAGGATCAGCCAGTCTGCAAAGAGTGAACAAACACACTCCAACTGTTTCTTTCTTCAAGCTCTCACTTCTGCCCTTGAGGGAAGAGCTATGGCCCTGCACACACTGGCGAATGTCCTCCACCACCATTTCTGTGTGGCCCCACTACTAATGCTCTCTTGTCCTAGATAGTGAACTAATTTTCAGAAAATGTACCTAAGAGATCCTCATATGTGTCATGAAAAGAGGAATTTTCTACCATATCTTCTGTCAGACCCAAGTCCCTTCTTGCCTGGTGGCTTCTGGGTTACTGATGTGTCTCTGGATGGAGGAGAGGGACAGTGTGCTGTCCTCCACAGCCCTATCTCCTCATTCTCCCAACTAGGATCAAGTCATCAAATATCCTCATACCTGCTTACAACACTGTCTGTGTTCCCTGCGTTCACCCAGCCTTCAGACATGTGCCCAGCAGCCTGATTTCAGAGACTCACCCCTTTCTTTCCTCACCAGATAAAAATTCCACACGCACAGGGTCACTGAAGGAAGATCTTGGGGTCTTGCATGTGTAATATCCAGACTTGTCTATTTGGATTGTTCCACGTCTACTTTCCAAGGGAATCCCATCACAATACCAAGATACGTATCTCTGGGCCCAAGAATGGTCATCCTTGCAGGTGAGAGTCACTTTCTCTCCTTTGAAGGTTCTGGACCATGGAGGTTTGAGGAGAAGAAAAGCTTTTGGAAGTGTTCCTAAACAGGAAAGAGAAAGGTGCAGGCAGGTGAAGGCAGATGGGAGGTGGGCTGAGCCCAGGGGAGGTCCCATCTGGGCCGATTCCCATCGGGAAAGGAGCAGATACAACTGGGGGACATGCCTGGGGCAGAACCTGCTCTTCATTACCCTTTGCATAGGCCAGAAGTGGGCAGGTGGGTGCCATAAGGGAGAGGTCTCGGGTCCCTGGGGTGGGTTCCGAAAAGCTTGGGAGATGGGATGTGTAGCTGGGGACACACTATGAGGGCCTCTGAAGATGGCTGATTCTGAAATGTTCTTGTCCTGTGCATTCCTGTCAAGGTACGGGTGGGCCTGGGATGTAGTCTCTAGACTCTGGACAATCACTTCCTACTTGGTTGCTCATAGGTAATGGACAACACATTTTTTCCTGCTTTCATTACTTTTAAACTTTGTTTAACTTGAGATTCTATGGGGAAGGCAACTTTTGTCTACACTCCATCTAAGTCAGACACAATAAAAGATGAAGGGACATAAAGAATTTGAATGGAGAGTCATGGGCTGCTTGAGAAATCCCCTTTGTATACAAAATTGCAAATGACAAATGGGACCAGATTTTGAAGCAGGACAGCAGCATGAGCTCCCTTCGGAGTGTATGAAAATTTGGGTGCAGCACTTCCTCTGTGAATAGGAGCTGCTTTTCTGTCCTTTGATGATGGCTGTAGCTTGAACATTTGGGTGTGGGGGGATGGTCCTTAGGGAAAAAAGGAGACAGATGGAAGGTTCTGGACATTAGCCTCCTGCCTCTGCAAATGCTTCCTTGCCCTGCACTGATGGGGAAAGGACTGAAGGCTGCAGAAATCACAGGAGGCTCTGCTCACTGGCCATGGTGACAGGTGTGATCCCAGAGTGGCAGCACCACTCATTCTGGCACAACCTCAGCCCCCATTTACAGGGACAGGCATGCTGGCTGGAAGGACCAATGCCCAGAGAGCAGGAGGGAGAGGGAAAGGAAGACTGACCTGATTGCTCTCGTCCGGGAGCTGTGAGAGAGCCAAAGGTTAAAGGTTAGCATGGGGTGACACTGTTCCAACCCTTGGTTAGACTCTGAGAAACTCCCAGCAACCCAGCCAGAGTCCCTTCTTGGGCTCTCCCTCCCATTTCTTTCCACACATTCCATACCTCCCATGGCCCCCAAACAAAATGCAGCCTCTGATTTCTGTGATGAGCGTGAATGGCTCGTATCCACACCCCTGGCCTCCTTGCTATGCACGCAGCAGCTCGTGCTCCCTCTCGCTCTCTTCTCTGGCCTGAACTGGGCGGAGCAGAGGCAGAGAAGGGCTTGGAGAAATGCTTTATCTCCCCCTTCCTCCTCATTTCTTGGGCACTGTTCCCCCTACTTTTCCTTTCTTTTTTTTAATAAAGATTTTATTTATTTATTTGAGAGTGAGAACCAGAGAGAGCACAAGCAGGGGGAAAGACAGAGGGGGAGAGAAGCAGACTCCCTGCTGAGCAGGAAGCCTGATGTGGGCTTGACCCCAGGACCTTGGGATCAAGACCTGAGCCAAAGGCAAAAGCTTAATGACTGAGCCACCCAGGCATCCCTCCCCCTACTTTTTCAGTCTCTGGTTAAATGTGGGCTTAAAATGTCAGGAAGGAGCCACGTTGCTCCACAGACCTTCCTCCCCTCGCCCATGTGGGCAGTAATTGTTTTTCTGGGCATTTAGAGGTGTGGTTTTGCAGAGAGAAAAATCCAAGCTTCCTATGAGGTGAGAAAGGAAACGAGCAGGAAGCCAAGGTGCCACAAAGGATGGCCAGGTCTCTGGAGCCTTTGGTTTTCCTGGAAACCCAGCTCTGCTCATTTTCCACCTCTTGCTATGTGTCTGAAGCCCTTCTATCTGAAGGGATATAGAAGCCCTTCTATAGCGGAGATAGAAGCCCCTTGGCTTTCCCTCTACCTGCTGACATTAGGAACTTGGGCCCCTGTCCCAGTCTGACCCTTACTCACCCAGGATCAGCAGCAGCAGCCACAGAAGCACAGGGACCTGGTCCGGCCGATGGCAGGGAAAACCCATCTTACCAGAAGCCAGGCTTCTCTCCCGTCTGTGAAGGACGGCCAGAGAGTAGTACTCAGATAAGGCCCACAGAATTAGAAAAAGGAAGTAAAATAATCAGGTCTTGCTGGTGTTCTCAAAATGTGAATGTGGCTACTTTCCTACATGGCCCTTGTCTTTTGGGCTGGTAGTTGTGCCATTTCCGATGTTGGTGGCCACCTTCTGGTGGTCCACGTCTGCCAGGACAAATGTCTCCAAGGCTGTGCCTGGGTCCTCAGAAAATGCCAAGCTGTGGATTTGCTAGTATGCAAATAACTTTTTCTTCATTTCTCAAATGGAAACCACTTCCTTACCTTAAATTCATATAAACTTCGGTGTCACATGAGGTCCTAGTACAGACACACTTGGTCAGTCTGGCGTCAAAGTGTGTTTTATGATGGGAGCGCCACAAAGTCAAAGGGTTAAAGCAGATGTAAAACCTTTTGAGCTTTATATAAGCTGGGCTGAAGTTGCTGAAGAGGAAGGTAAGAGAAGTTTGCAGACTGACTCAGCTGGTAGAGCATGCGACTCTTGATCTCAGGGACACGAGTTGCAGCTCCACATTTGGCGCTGAGGCTACTTAAAAAACAAAAACAAAAACATATCCCTCTGCAGTTTAGCAGAATAGGCTTCCCTAAGTGCCCCAGAGACCTGCATAGATTGGGGGTAAGTGAACAAGCAGACAAATGTGAACCTATGTTGTGAGGGTCTCAGCCTGTCAACAACCACATTGTGCCTGGACCAGCCCCTGTGGTTCTCACCATTTCCCCCTTCAACAACCATCAGCGGGGGGGGGGGGGGGGGGGGGCAGGGAGTTTGTTACTCATGTGTCCTGGGAAGTACATGACACACCTGGGACCACACAGCAAGGCCACAAGACTGGGGTTCTTCTGCTTTTATTGGGATCAAGGTGGAGGGCACTTAGGGTTTCATGGGCTTACTCTTTATTGAAGAATTTAACATAAGAGCAGAAATTTAAGTTTGTGAGGTAAAAACAACAAGAGATCCAAATGTTCAGTTAGTGAGATCAGCCAAGATCTTTGAAACAAAGGAGGGTAGGGTGGAGGGAGCTGGCTGGGTCCCAGAGGTGAGAAGCTGCCACCATGCAGTGGGTGCTCCGGGCACCACAAGCTTCAGGCAGGCCCTTGCCCTATAAAGGGAAACCCCCATCCACTCACACAGAAACCCTGTGTCCAGTGTGGACCGACCCCAGAGGGGCCCTCTGCAGCCTCACGGTTCAAGTGTCTTTCCTAATTATTTCCTGTTTCAGCCCCACAAACACTTCTCATAGTTTTGTCAATTTCCCTCCCCAGTTCTGGAGGGTTCTTGGCCATTATCTCCCATCTTTCTGGTCCTTCCTTCCTTCTTCTGAAATCCTCACAAGGTGGACATTGATCTGCCTCATGGGCTTTTCTCCTTTATGCTCCCCTAACTGAAGTATTTCTGGTGACCTGTTTTCAGCTCTCTGGTCCTTTTTTCTGTTGGGTCTCTAATGAGGAAAACAAAGGCAAGAGAAATCTAGCTTAAATTAAATCTCCTTACAACTTGCATCCCACTGATATATCCCTGAGACACGTAGAGTGTGACCTTCCTGGAGGAACCCATGACAGCCTTAATGTTGTTTTGCTAGAGACTAAGAGTAATCTTACTTTAACGGCAGCTAGACCCTCAACATCTCAAAAGGCTTGCTTCAAAATTCCTTTGAAACTTACTTTATCTCTACCCCACCTCTCTCCACAAACCTAAAAGTCAGAATGTCACCCATCACAATGCCAGCGCAGCTCTTTCTGCCCACAGGTCCTGTCCCTGTGCTATAATAAAATCACTGTTTCCACCAGAAATGTTTCAAGAATTCTTCCTTGGTCATTCATTCAGAAGCCCAAATCTTCAAATCATATCATTTACATCATTTTGTGTCCAACCTGGTGCTTTGGATCCGCTCATCTGGAGTCATGATCCTTAATGCAAATTTGGTGGGTACTTCCTCTCCTGTCCCTTTACTTTCACTCCAGGAGCTTTTCAAGGTCTTACTGAATATTTTCCTGTCTATTGCTCAGGCTCTAATCCTCTAGCCTGTGGCCACTCTAGGAAGAGGAGAAATCCTGTCTTTTGGCTAGAAGTTAGTACCCTGGCCAGAATGATAAGGAGACCCAGAAACTTGAGGACCTCTCTTTATTTCTGTCCCTATACAAATTTGTCTGATTTGGGCACAGGAAAGCTACCTAAGTGACTAGCAAAGCTGCTGATTGTAAGACTCCCAGATGAGGTTCCCTCTTCTTTGGTCTAATGTGATCCCCTCCATACTCCTGGCCTAGCCCCTTCTGGCAAAGCAACCTCCACTAAGAACAGCCCCAAACCAGTTAGAATTAAAACCCAACCAAGGATGTTTCCTAGAGAAACTGGCTGTAAATTTTACATGTATTGGGATGTCACTTAGCTCATGATGGATTTTTATCTTTACTGTTTTTCATTAGTGTCCTCTACTGACAAAACTGGGTAATGTTCCCTTGTAAAGTTTTTCTGATGTTTTCCATGGTTTAGGAATGGCAGGTTTCTCATGGCACAGCACCACATTTCAGTCCATTCTCTGGTACCCATTTGTAGTCTAGAATGCAATGGGGAAGGAGGGGCTCTTGGCAGCCTTCCTGTGGGGCCCTTATGGGATCACCTTATGGTGATCAATACCAATTCCTTTGAAGGGTTCCTCCAGTTGCTTTTGACACCTGGAACCTCTGATATCCTGGTGTGACACCATCTGGGAGTTGGTTGGGGGGATTTTTTGGAAATAGACTTTCTCTACTTTTCTAGGAACATGGGATCCTCTTCTTCAGTCCCCAAGACTCCCCTTTGGAATAATTTTAACCCACTGGGATCAATTCAGATGACAAGATCTAAAAAAGACAAAAGCTGGAGAGTTAAGATGGTGGAGGACTAGGGGTACCCTAAGCTTGTCTCTCCCCAACATAGCTAGATAGTCATCAAATCATTCTGAACATCAGAGAAGTCAATCAGAGTTCTGAGAGAACAAACACTGCAAGTCTACAAGTAGAAAACTGACCTCCTTCTGGAAGGTAGGAGGTGTGGAGAGTTGACTTGGGGGAGATACAGCTGAGCTATGGCAGCATGGAGTGATCCTGCTTTTGGAGGCTACTGCAAAGTGTTATAAGGAGCAGAGTGCACAATCTGAACTTGTAGACATCCGCTACTGTGAGGGGCATGCCAGGCTGACAGGTGCTCAGGGGGTGAAGTGGGGCAGAGTGTCAGGAGTGACAGTACAGTTGGGTGAAGATCTCCTGGGTTCCAAGAAGAATACGTGGTGTCAGCGTGCACGCTGTTCCCAGGCATAGGTGTGGGGAAGCTGGCTCAGAGCAGCGAGTCTTGGTGTTGGATTTCTGATCCACCTTGCCGTAAACTGCAAACAGTTGTGTTTGTGCAACTGCTTTCCTGGGATGGCCAGCAAACAACAAAAGCACAGTAAGACCCTCCCCTAAGGAACAGTGTGGGTCTGCACCACAGTTGTTCCTAAAATTTGGAGTTCTGAAACTCAATTGCATGCCTGAGATAAAACAGCTCAGACACAGGCAGGGAGAAAGCAGGATTCACACAGAAACCAGGGACACAAGAAAGGTGATTGATTGCACTTCTGTAAGGGTTCACTGAAGAGTGGGGGGTGCAAACTTACAACTCTTGGACTAGAAAGCTGAGCACATCCCACCCATCAGCCCTGAAAAACATCAGGGAGCAAGGCAGTGCCACCTAGTGGAGTCCAGGGCCACTTACACTGAGTACCACTGCTTTGTGGTACACTTGTGCTCTGGAGGTATATCTCCATTGAAAGAAGTCAGTGTGAGAATCAACTCATCAGGGAAGGGCACTGACATCAAAATCCAAGAAGCACAGAGAACCCCCATTGAAGTCAACAAAAGCTGACCATTTTCAAGGCATATCATAGTCAAATTTGCAAAATACACAAAGAAAAAAAAATCCTAAAAGCAGGAAGAAGAAAAAAGGTCCTTAACCTACAAGGAAAGACCAATGAGGTTCATAGCAGATCTGTCCACAGAAACTTAACAGGCCAGAATGGAAGAACAGGGTATATACAAGTTGCTGAATGGGAAAAATATGCAGCCAAGAATATTTTGTCTAGTGAGGTTGTCATTCAAAATAGGAGGAGAGATTAAAAGATTCCCAGGAAAAAGAAAAACTAAAGGAGTTTGTGACCACTAAACCAGCCCTGTAAGAAATTTTAAGGGGGACTTTTTGAATGGGGAAAAGAAAGATCAAAAGCAACAAAGACTAGAAAGGAACAGAGGATATCACCAGAAACACCAACTCTGCAGGTAACACAATGACACTAAATTAATATCTTTCAATAATCACTCTGAATGTAAAGGAATTAAATGTTCCAATCAAAAGACCTAGGGTGTCAGAATGATGAAAAAACAAGATCCCTCTATCTGCAGCCTACAAGAGGCTCATTTGAGACCTACAGAACCTGCAGACTGAAAGTGAGGGCATGGAGAACCATCTATCATGCTAATGGATGTCAAAAGAAAGCTGGAGTAGCCATACTTATATCAGACTAACTAGATTATAAAACAAAGACCGTAATAAACGTGAAGGGCATTATGTCATAATTAATGGGTCTATCCATCAAGAAGATCTAATAATTATAAATATTTATGCTTCCAACTTGGGAGCACCCAAATGTGTAAGTCAATTAAAAATAAACAAAGAAACCCATTGATAATAATACAATAATAGGGGACTTTAACACCCCACTTACAGCAATGGACAGAACATCTAAGCAGAAAATCAACAAGGAACAATGGCTTTGAATGACACACCAGACCAGATGGACTTAACATATTATTCAGAACATTTCATCGTAAAGCAGCAAAATGCATATTCTTTTTGAGTATTCATGGAGCATTTGCAAGGAACATATGAGGTCACAAATCAGCCCTCAACAAGTACAAAAAGATTGAGATCATACCATGCATATTTTCCAACCACTCTTCTATGAAGCTTTAGGTCAACCACAAAAAAGGAAAAAAAATTGAAAAGATGTCAAATACATGGAGATTAAAGAACATCCTATTAAAGAATGAATAGGTTAACCAGGAAATTAAAGAACAAATAATAAAAAAATAAGTCATGGAAGCAAATGCAAATGAAAACATGACAGTCCAAAACCTTTGGAATGCATCAAAGGCAGTCCTAAGAGGGAAGTATGATGGAATACAGGCCTACCTCAAGAAGCAAGGAAAGTCTCAAATACACAATCTAATCTTCCACCTAAAGGAGCTAGAAAAGGAACAGCAAATAAAGCCTAAAGCCAACAGAAGGGAAATAATAAAGATTAGAGCAGAAATAAATGATATAGAAACAAAAAA